GGATCCCCCCCAGATCCCCCTCAAATCCCTCCCCCGGGTGGATCCGGTGGATCCCGGATCCCTCGGTGGGTTTGGGGTCCTCAGGTGGGATCTTTGGAAAGTTTCCCTTCCTCTCCCCACATCAGGTGGGTTTGGGATCCTCCCAGGTGGGATTTGGGATCCCCAGGTGAGTTTGGGACTTTCCCAGGTGGGATTTGGGATCCCCAGGTGAGTTTGGGACTTTCCCAGGTGGGTTCGAGTTCTTCCCAGGTGGATTTCAGGTACCCAGATGCATTTCGGGTCCATCCAGGTGGGTTTTGGATCCATCCAGGTGGATTTTGGAGTCCCCAGGTGGATTTTGGGGTTCCCAGGTGCTGAATTTGGAGTCCCCAGGTGGATTTTGGGGTTCCCAGGTGCTTTTTGGCCTTGCAGGTGTTGATTTTGGGCTCTCCCCAGGTAGTTTCGTGTCCGCCCAGGTGCGTTTAGGACCCCCCATTTGAGGTTTTGGGTCCTTGGCTGTGGATTTTGAGGTCCCTGGGTAGATTTTGACCCCCACATGTGCAGATTTTGGGACCCCCCGGGTGGATTTTGGACGCCCCCGATGCATTTTGGGGTCCCCGGGTGCTGATTTTGGGGTCCTCAGGGGGATTTTGGGGCGGATCCAGGATCTCCCCACCAGATCCCCTGGATGACGTCACTGAATCCCCTTTGATGACGTCACTGGACTCCCCTGTGGAACCTCTCAGGTGTCCCCCCCCCCTTCAGCCCTCGGGAGTGTCCTGGCAGCTGTGACGTCACATCGCGACACTGTTCGCGCGTACTACGTCATCATCCCCAATGACGTCATCGCGACAGCGGGGCGGAAAAAAGAGGCGCTCAGGCTCCGCCCTTTTTCCCGCCTCCGTGAGGGGCGGTTCCGCCACGCTCAAGATGGCGCCGTCGCCACAGTAACCGCGAAGGGGGCGGAGCTTCCGCCACACCAAATATGGCGGCGGGGGCGGGACTGGGAGGCCGCTGAAATGTCACTGGGATGGAACTGGGGATGGGACTGGGAGCTCCAGCATTCCCGCCAAAAAGAACCTGGAGCCCCCAGACTAATTTTGTGACTGAGGGGGGTTCAAATTCTCTCTCAAATGGGACCCCAAACCACCGGATCCTCCTCCCGGACATCTCGGGGGTTTTATTGTCACATCTGGGGGTTTTATTGTCACACCTGGGGGTTTTATTGTCACATCTGGGGGTTTTATTGTCACACCTGGGGGCTGTTTCACCCCAAAACTCCCTGAATCTTCCTCAAAACTTCCCCAAACGCTGGCGCCTTCATCCCGAACCCCTTGGTGACAACTCCCTCCCTCCTCCTCTCCTCTCCCCACCCGCTCTGGAGCATTTTGGAGTCCCGGAAGAGCAAAATTGAGGCGAAAAGCGCCAAATTCGGGTGTTGGAACAAAAATCCGTTACGAGAAAGGCTGAGAAAGCGCATGCGGAAGAGGGAGGCGGAGCCGCGCATGCGCCGGTACGCTCGGCGCGGCCGCGCACGCGCAG